GAAACAGCAATGGAGATGGGAGCAACCAGGGAGCAGTAGGGCAGGCTGGAATATTAAATAGGATGAATAAAGGAGCAGAAGTTTGAAGGAGCAGAGGAAGTCGGCAAGTGAATATTTCAGTGAAGAATGTTCTAGGCAGAGGGAACAGCTAGAGGAAAGCCTGAAAGAAAGTAATGGATGAGCTGAGAGGGATTATGTGGGACTTGTACGCCAATTAAAGAATTTAACTTTGGGGGGCACCTGGGTGGCTCAGTGGGTTAAAGCCTCTGCCTTCGGCTCAGATCATGATTCCTAGGGTCCTGGGATCGAGCCCCGCATCAGGCTCTGTGCTCCGCAGGGAGCCTGCTTTCCCCTCGCTCTCTGCCTGCCTCTCTGCCTACTTGTGATCTCTATCAAATAAATAAATAAAATCTTTAAAAAACAAATGTTAAAAAAAAAAAAGAATTTAACTTTGGGTGCCTGGGTGGCTCAGTGGGTTAAGCCTCTGCCTTCTGCTCAGGTTATGATCTCAGGGTCCTGGGATCGAGTCCCACGTTGGGCTCTCTGCTCAGCAAGGAGCCTGCTTCCTCCTCTCTCTCTGCCTGCCTCTCTGTCTACTTGTGATCTCCCTCTGTTTGTTAAATAAATAAATAAAATCTTCAAAAAAAAAAAAAAGAATTTAACTTTGACTTACTGAAAATGGAGAGCCTCCACAAGATTTTGACCTGTGGAATGATACAATCTGATTAATGTTTTAGGAAGCTTGCTTTTCATGCTGTGTTGAGAAAAGACTGTAGAGCCACAAGGATACAAACAGGGAGATCTGTTGGGAGAAACTATAGATATGCCAACCATCTAAGTATATTCATGGACAGAAGGAAAGCTGCAGTGGTTTCAAAAATTTCAGGGAGCCAGATAATGTTAGCAGAGTACTGAGTCCTCAGTAAATTCTAGTGATGTGATTAGTTTATGATTTTAGGGGTGCCTGGGTGGCTCAGTGGGTTAAAGCCTCTGCCTTCGGCTCAGGTCATGATCCGGATCGAGCCCCACATCAGGCTCTCTGCTCGGCAGGGAGCCTGCTTCCTCCTGTCTCTCTGCCTGCCTCTGCCTACTTGTGATCTTTCTCTCTGTCAAATAAATAAATAAAATGTAAAAAAAAAAAAAAATCTTGGAAAAAAAAAAGCTAGTTTATGATTTTAGTTTAGATATGCCTCCTATGACTTATCTAGTAGATTACAGGTAGCTCTTACTCACATGTAAGTATTAGAGTCGATAGACTTACAGGCTTCACAAACATGTATTCCTATAGGAATTGAAGAAGGACTTAACATTTTGGACTTAGTGTGTAGCCTATCAAAAGGACCTTGAGAATTCAATGATGAAGATGGTCAATTACTTCTAAAGTTAAGAGGAACAATCAGTTTGAACTACCTCAAATTCATATATTTGAGGGCCCAAGGAAAACTATGCCATACAGGATATAGTAAGATATGGAAACATTTTAAGTAAATACTATACCAGAACAAAAAAAGCGCCTCTAAGATCCAGACTATAGATCAAAAGATAGAAATCTTTTGAGGGAAAGAGGTATTTTGAAGGTTCTTCTAGTTCTGAGCATAGCAATCTTACACTAAATTGGGCCTATTACCTTAAAAAGCCCATATAAAATTCTATGTGATATATATTTTATCTGTATGATATAGAGTCTGACACATTTTTGTTTTGAAAAGATGTATGAATCAAGGTAGAAGATGATTTTAAGATACTTCTGAGGATTCCCTTTAATAGGAAAATCATGTGTTGTAGTAAAGAAATGTAAAAATGAAACACAGTAAGATCACTCACTTCTGCTTCAATCCTGTAAGAAGTCAGCTGTCCCCGTGATACCATCTCATGTGCATTGGATTTCATCTGTAGGCATGTCTCCGGGCAGGTGAGAGGCATTGAGGGTGCAGGGAAACACAGCCACCGGCACCCAGCATGCTGTTACCAGTAGAAAATAGTGCAGGGCCTAGGACAGGGATCTACTGTAAAGGAAAAACCGAAACTGTTTAATTTGGACAACCGCTTTTAAGTTCGCCTTTCTGTACTCAAAATAACTAAAATGACTAAAAGAAGTGTTCTTGTTTTCCACTCCCCAGTTCCTCCCATATTCTATTTTGCGATGCTCATGGTGTAATTCTGAACCTTTGCTGTACGTCCGTCACTGAGCGAGTGTTCAAAATATACCCAGGACCAGGCCAGGGTCCTAACCCCAGAGATTGAGTCATTTGATCTAGGGTTGGACCCAGGTGTTATTTTTGAAGTGACCCAGATAATTGTAATGTGCAGCCAGGGTTGAAAACTACCATGGTTTCACACTGGAGTAAAAATATCTAGGTTCTAGTTGTAGTGCTGCCATTTACTAGGTGGCAGATTTTTAAGTCCTCAGTTTCCCATAGGATGACAGGGTTGGCTTAGAGACTTACACAAATTCTCTTTCAACTAAAACAAAATTTAATAAATTGGGATACATATGATCCCTTCTAGTTTGCTTAACTCTAAAAAGATGAAAACGGAATTATTTGGAGTATGCTAGTTTGGTTTGAAGCAGGTGAGTTTAAAAAAAAAAGTACTTAAGTAAACTTTTCCTTCTTCCCTCTTCCCAATGACGAGGCATAGGAGAAAAGAAACACAGACATTTAAGCTTAGAAGTCACAAGAGACTTCTAGGGCTGCTAGGTCTGTCCCCAGCTCTCTTAAATTGGGAGTTAGTCATACATTATCTGGGGAACAGAGGCAGGAGGGAGAGTGCTTACTACACATCAAGAAGGTAAATATAATACAACCCCCAAAGGCTTTACACTACTCATCCGACCATAATCTAGCCTGGTACTAAACACTGCAAGTGTGGAAGGTGAGGTCGGGGTGTGCACATATACATATCCACATGCACACACACACTCCCCGAATCTCTTGTGGAGAGCGCCCAGAAGAGGATGGTCACTAGTGTTGCGCCTCCAGTCAGGGCCACTCGGGCCTTCCCTCCACCCTTCCCAGCCCGCTCCCAGCCGTGCCCCCACCCGGAGGGTTGTCAAGACTTCGCCCAGGTCCTTCCAGAGAAGGGGGCGGCAGCCACTGCCATTCTCCCCCAGCTGGTTCTCTTATCTTTCACTGAATCCATCTCTGTGCCTCTAAAAACAGATGCAGACGCTAACCTGATCCCCTCGCTTCTCGGTCTTTTATCTCTAGACTAGGCCCCCCAGGAAGGGCCAAATAGACCGAAGCCCTTGGCCCAAGCTCAATCACCCTCCCGATTATCCCAGCACCCTCGCACCTTCCCGGGTCCTCTTTATCCTCACACCTCTCCCAGACAAACCCTAACTCCCCCAATCTCACCTCCGTGCCTCTCCACGCATCCTTGGCCGAAAGCCCTCATTTTCCCAGAACTTCCTCATCCTCTCCTCCCCAACCCCCACCTCCTGCACTGGGTTCCAGGTCCTCAACATCACCTGCACTCCCTACTCGCTCATAGCTCCCTCTCCCTCCCCTCAAGGAACCCAAGCGGGTCCCCTCAACCCCGGCACCGGAGGGGACCTCCCCAACCCTACACTCTCCCTCCTTCCAGGACCCCACTCACGATACCTCGGGAGCCCCTCCACGCACGCTTTCACCTCCAAGCCCGACACATAGGCATCTCCCCCTTCTTCCGCACAGTTCCCTCCTTTCCAAAACCATAGGTGCCCCCACTTCCCAGTCACACCCCATCTCCGGACCTGACACTGCTCCCCCGGCCCCACGTTTCCACTCCTTTACCTCCAACCTGACCCACAGTGCGCCCCCATCTACCAAGGCTCACTCCTCGCCCCGACTCTCGACTCCTTGGGGGCCACCGCACAGGCTCGAGTTCTCCACCCCTCCCTTGAAAACTCGCTCCCCCCTTCCCGCCCGCCCCCAGCCCACAGGTCGCGCTCCCGAGGGGTGCTTGCCGAGCTCTGGCCTGGGCGGCCGGGAGGTGACGCGGTCCCGGCGGGAGGAGCCGGGGAGGCGGAGGGGCGGAGGAGGCGCGGGCGGCGGCGGCAGCAGCAGCTGCGGCGTAGAGAGCCGGTCCTCGGCGCCGACTCCAGGGACCCAAGGGGCGGCGGCGGCCGAGGGTCCCCGGGCAGGCGCGTGATGAGGAAGCACCAGCGCCGGTCCCCGCTGCGCGTCGGAGCTCGCTTGGATCCGGGCGGTGGCAGCCGATGGGCCCCGGCCCCGGGAATCTCCGCCGCTAGCCCCTGTCATCCCTTCCTCGCTTTCGCTTCCCGGTCTAGCCCGGAGCGGTCTCCCGCGGCCGTGCTCTGCCCCGCGGCCCTTTCCCCGGCGTTCCTGGAGGGGTCCTCCCTCCGCGGCGCCTGAAGCCCAGAGACGCGTTAGTCGGCGGGACAGCTGAGCTGCTTCTCTGGGAAATTAGCCCCTGTTTCCCCACCACCCTCTCCGCTCCCGCCCCGGCGCCCCTCCGGTTGGCAGGACTCGGTCTCCCGGCGCTCGGAGCGAGTTCTCGGGACTCCCCGAGGGGGGATAGTTTGCAGCTCACCCCTCTCCCCTCCGCGGCGGCGCGCGCCCCCGCCCCCGCCGGACACACTCGCGCCCGGGCCCGCACGCCGCCCTCCCGCCCGCTCCCTCCAGTCACCCCACCCTTAGTCGTCCCCGCCACCTTACTCCACCACCCTCCCCCGCCGCTCCGCGCACACCGCGTCCCAGCCCGGCCTCCCGCTCCTTTCTGCTAAACCGCTCACTTGCCAGCCCTTCGCCCCCGGGAAGAAGAAACATTTCCCGGAGCGCACTCCTCAGCCCTCACTCCCCCTGCGCTCGCCCTCCCCCTCCCCCCGCCCCTTTCTTTCTTTCTTGGGGGAGGGGGGCTGTCGCCTCGGATTGAAGGCCATTGATTTGTATGTATTTGTCCCGGCGCCGGAGGCTGCCCCAGCCGCCCGCGCGGGTGCCGCCGCCGCCGCCAGTGGAGTTGCCTCCCTGCTTCCCTAGGGTGGTTAAGCTCCACCAAACATGTCGGCTCCGGTCGGGCCGCGGGGCCGCCCGGCTCCCACCCCGGCGGCCTCTCAGCCGCCCCTGCAGCCCGAGATGCCCGACCTCAGCCACCTCACGGAGGAGGAGAGGAAAATCATCCTGGCCGTCATGGATCGGCAGAAGAAAGAAGAGGAGAAGGAGCAGTCGGTGCTCAAGTAAGGACCCGGCTCCATCTTCCCGCCTCCCTCCTTACCCTCCGCCCCCACGGCCGCTGCCCTGCGGCCGCCTGCGCGCCCGGGATCGCCGCCCTCCCTCCAGCCGGCGGCGCCTGGGCCACGAGGGCTGCGGCCGGCGCCGGCAGCCGGGGCTGCTTTCTGGGTGTCAGAGCGCGGGGGTGTGTGCCGGAGAGAGAGGGCGCCGAGGCCGGCTGAGATGAGGGTGGAGAGCCCTTGGACGTTGTGATTTTCCCGGGCGTCCTTCCGGCTTCCCCCGCGGGCCAGTTTGGCTCCAGGGCCCCCACGGGGCTGAAGCTGAACCCAGGCTCCGCGCGTCCCCTCTCCTTTCCAGCCGCCCCCGCGCGGAGGCAGTGACTGGGGCAATGAATCCAATATGGCCGTGCACAGGTGCTCCCTGGCCGGGACCCGGGCGAAGGCGCGCCTCTGGGGATGCAGGCGCAGCCGGGGCGCCTCGTCCCGCGTTTCCGCAGGGCGGCTCTGCCTCCGACGCGGAGACGAGCAGAGCTGCCCACGGTCGCTGCGGGCAGGAGGGCGGCGGTGCAGGCGAGGGGCCTAAGCTCTGGCACGTCTCGGGTGGGTGTGCGGCCGCCGCCATCTTCCAGCCCCTCCCCCTCGGCGGGTTCTAACACCCTGCACTCTGCTGCTCTTCCTGTTTGCAACTAGTAAATCTGTTTAATCCCGAAGAGACTCTGGAGAGGCTCCCGTTCCTACCACCCCAGCAGTTTGGGATGCTTCCTACCTTGTGAAGTTTTACTACTAGTGTTCATAGTGTAGGCATCCGGGATTTTGGCGAGGGTGGGATAGTAAAAGCAGCACCCAGGCATCGGTTTAGCGCTGTGGAACTTCAGCACCAGGGAACTGTCCAGACGCATATACAGCTTTGAGACTCCTTTTCTTGTCAGTCTAGCAAAGAGATTTGTTTCTACAGGTTTGCTTTTAAATGTTTTATGGGTATTTGGTTTCTCAGTTACTGTATGAAAGAGATTGTGCAGGAGATGCGTAACCTTTTTATGTTTTTCCAACTCAACTTTTTTTTCTTTTTAGTGAAATGAATTATTTATTCACTAAGAGATTAACTTGTACAGTTTATGTGCTAAAGGTGGGATGCTTTTTCTGTGTGTTATCAAATACACTTTTCCCATATTCTCCACAGAAACATGCAGTTGAAAGAGTAGAGTTTCTCTGTGAAGGAACTAATACACTGACCTCTAATCATGTAAACTTTAAAAACAGGTTGTTGAATTCAGTATTCTTTAATACTTACAAAGAAACAAGTTTCTGTCTACACATATATATTTTCATATTTTAATGAAAAATAATATAAATTGTGGTAACGAATGTATTAAATATTTGAGAAAAATAAAATTTCTCAAAAAATATTGAAGCACCAAGATAGCAAATGTTCCTGACATATGAACTGGAATAAAGAAGAATTACTTCTTCAAAGCTAATTTCTGGGTTTGGAGACTTGTTTGGGAATATGATTTATTAGTAGGCTTGGGAAATGAAAAACAGTTAAGAGATTTAAGTAGTTTATTTTAACTAATGGAGGAATAAAGTATTATTTTTAAAAGCTTTTTGAGCATTCTACTCACTTTGCTTTAAATATATGTACTGACAACAGCAAGCTTTTGATAACTTAGAGTTTGATATTTAGATATATGAATTTATATTTTTACTATAATTGCAATAAAATTAGTGGTTCCAAAATGATGTCAAATAAAACATAGGTTTTATTTCTTTGACCCATATATTTAAATGTACAATGTGTTTTTATTTCTTTGTAGTATGCTATATCATAGTATTTACTGGCTACTTCACTATTGTTCTGATATATAGAAATGTAAATGAACTTTTGAATACTAAATTAAGAATTACTCAGAGTGACCAGTATGTTACGTTAGGAAAATGTTGTGAAAGGGTTTTTCAAGTAGGTACATTACATTACATAGATTACTTTTCTATGTAAACCTGCATACTATGCAAATACATATAATATTCATCCATTCATAATTGCACAGTTTAGGTAGAAACATTCTCTAAACACACACTCATACAGTCTATGAAATTACATTTCTGAAAAATCTGTTCATATTTATTTTAAATATCTATTTGCATTTCTACCTAACAGTCTTAGAAGGAGTCATACCTCAAAATGGCCTACCTGGTTTCAGAATTATTTTTATATTCATTTTAACAAGAAGTTTTTTGGAGATTAAAGCATAAAGCATTTAATTTTAGATGTTGTTTAAAAATGTTTTTGGCTTTTGTAATAAAGTAAGACTAGGCAAGGAAAATGAGGAAAAGAAGACTTTATGATAGGATTATAATAAAGATTGTTTTGAAGAATTTTATGATTTATTAAATAATATTGTCAGTATTGGATATTAAGTTATAAATACTATATGTAAGAAAAATTAACACTAGTATTTATCAATAATTACTATTTTTCCTTAAGTTTTAGGGGCCATTCATCTGTCCAAGACAACATTATCCTTTGTTTTTCTTTAGTGATGTCCATTTAATTGCATGTTGACATCTAGTCTGAGAGAAGGTCATGGGCAGAGAGAAACTGAAACTCCAGTTCATGTCTGCTACTTGTAACAACTATGTTAAAAGATAAGTTTGATGTGTGAAAATTTGAAACCATTGGATGAAGATATTTTCATACTAAGTATTCATATAGAGTGGGGCATACATTCTAAAGTATACATCACGAGATGATACGCTGGAGTAGAGGAAGAGAGTATTAAAACATATTTCTATTTGAAATTTGAAAAAGAAAATAAGTTTTATTTGAAAAATAGATTTGAAAAAGAAAATAAGTTTTACTGATATTTAACATATATATTGACAATGTTAAGATGCATATAATTTATGAATAAATATATGTATATTAAGAAGCTCATGCCTGAGATATTTTTAATGAGAGAGGTGAGCAATCAAAGGAGAGTGAGACCACTACTGAGACCATTACTATAGTAATCTTTCTCTTTGGGAAGAGATTAAGTAAGAACCAGTTATACTTAATTATTAGCAATTTCTTCAAAGCCTTATTGAACATCCACATACTCAAGAAATCTTCTGTCACCATCAAGTAATTTCATTTTACATGGGATTGAGATACTAAAATTTTGGAAGCATTTTTATATCTCAGTGGATCCCTCAATAGATCAGTAATTTCTTTTTTTTAATCTTTACATGAAAATCCTTTTATAGTTTTATTTTTGATAACTCAATCTACTGGTAAAATCTATAGTGTTCTTTTACTTATTAATATTTTTAAGCCTTGTCTTTCAATGAATAAAAAAGTACTCTTATTTGGAGTCTGTTTTGCAGCATCTTTAACACCTGCACATATTAGGTACCTAATAGGTAATGTTGATATGACTTGTGGTAATGTTAATGAGGCAGACTATTAATTTTATTGGGAAAATGAAGAATAATTTCTTTGAAAGAAAAGCATAATTTATTAAGTTTATATTTTTCAGTGAGGTTTATTTTTTTTTTTTGGAATGTGGTATTGTGAAAAAAAATGTATGAGAAAAACAAAACCACCGAAATCAATAGAAAAGCATTCATTCAGTAAGTGTTTATTGAGTTTCTACTATGTGCATATCCTAGTCTTTCAGATGAGGGTTTTTTTAAATAACAAATTAGAAATTATGTTTCTTGATGTGTAAATTATTTTTTATCATTAGTTTGGCTTTTCTGTTAATGTCAAAGGGATAATTTATTCCCCAAATAAAGGAAGTCAAGAGTAGAAGTTTCATGATAGATCAGAGTGACAATTTAGCTTACATTTAAAACACAGATGAGCAGTTCTAGATTTTTAAAAATAATTTAATTTTAAGAACATTTTTCAAAGTCAATTTACAAGCTTCTTTATTTAATGGATAATATTTACCTATAGTACAAAATTTCTTAGCTGTGCTTTTCCCTAAGCCAGAGGCAATGACTCTTGTCAGTTTATTGTATACCATTCTAGAAATATGCTATACGTAGGAGTAGATATGTGTGTACATCACACATATGTCTGTGTGTGCACACAGGTATATGGATGTTTATGCGTACATATAAAAAACACAAATGTGTACTGCAGTTTACATTTTAGGAGATCAGTTCTACACCTTTTAATATATAGTTTTCTCATTCATTTTAATGCTGCATAATATCTCATTTTGTAAATACTCTTTAATTTCTTTAACTAGAGCCATATTTTTGGATATTTAGGCTGATTCTAATTACTTTGCCATTAAAAACAGCACTGTGATAAATATCTTTGTACATATATCATTTCCTATGTATGTGAATATATCTTTGGAATAAATTCCTAGAAATGCATTGTTGGGTCAAAAGGTCAGTGTATTTAAATTTTAATAAATATTGCCAAATTTACTTTCACAGAGTAAGTATGTACAAGTGACATAAACTAGGGAGACTCTTACATCCTTTCCAATTCAGTGTGATAATCTTTGCCAAAATATAGTTTGGTGAGAAATATGCTGTTGTAGATTTAATTGAAATTTTCTTATTATCAGTGAGGCTGAGAGCCTTTTATATTTGTTTAAAGTCTTGTTTTTTCTGTTGGTCATTTTTAGTGATTTGTAGAAGCTCTTTTTATTGTCATTTGTTTTATGACTTTTTTTATTGGTCAGGATTTTTAAAAAATGTGTTTGAATTTATTACTTTTTGTTTTATGGCTTTGGGGTTTGTGATGTAGTTAAAATGATCTTCTCCTCATTCTAATATTTAAAAACCTACCATATTGTCTTCTTATGGCTAAATGAATTTTTTTTGCTGTTAAATGAATTTTTAAGAACAAAGCATGTCAAATAATAGATGCAATTTGATTATGAAGACTTTTAAATAAAAATCATTATTGTACACTTAAATAGCCATGGCCATTGTCAAAAATTGAAAATCAATAGTTCTGAAGAATTTAAAATGCATTTTAAAACATTGATTGGCATTTTATG